TTTCAGGGATTTGAATGTGAAAATGTTTGAAGGGATCTTTATTCTGACTCCATACAAACAAAATTCTTTAATTTTTTGTCTACATTGACGTAACTTATTATAATGCTATTCTGCAATTAATATGTCTAAGAACTGTTTTATGGCTAAAAGGATAAAAAAATTGGAGGAGGAAGTTTTCTAATAATTCACTATTATAAATCTAAGACTTAGCTACTAAATGTTTAAAATCTCAATGATAAAGATTTTGATATGTACCTTAATACATATTATCATTGACACCTCTTAAAAACAAACATTTTGAAGCAAAACTACTCTTGAAAAATCTAAGTATAATCTCAACCATTTTGGTGCTGAACTTGATATCCTATGGTGGCCTATTCTACAATTAGTGGATTCCAGTCATGGAAGGGAACATAGTTTGAAGTTTGAAAATACAAGAATTCTGAGGGAGGGCTGGGAAGTTGGCTCAGTGGTAGAGCGCTTGCCTTGCATGCCTGAGGCCCTGGGTTCGATTCCTCAGCACCACATAAGCAAAAAGAAAAAAGCCGGAAGTGGCGCTGTGGCTCAAGTGGTAGGGCAGTAGCCTTGAGCTGAAGAGCTGAGGAACAGTGCTCAGGCCCAGAGTTCAGGCCCCACAACCGGACCAAAAAAAAAAAAAAAAAGAATTCTGAGGGAAAAAAATATTAAACAGGACATACTGGGGTCTGTGAACACAAGAGCGCTCCACCCCCAAGTTAAGATGGCTTCCCAGAGCACTAGAGGTAGCCTTGTGCTGATTCCTGTTAGGTATATGGATTCAAGACATTAATTTTTAAAACACTTCATTGTAGATTAATTCTTCTAGTCCCACACTAATGGTTTTATTGAAAATATAAAACAAATGTAAGACTCACTAACAATGTAAAATTATTTTTCGGTAAATATAATGTTCCTAAAATAGCAAAAATATTTACCAAAACTTATAAAAGTATAAATCATATATTTTCCCAGCTATACTAATAAATAATTTTAACTAAACAAATATTAAAGAATTCCCAGGGCACCTCATTTCAATAGCCAATTCTTGCAATACACATAGTCGTAACATCTAATACAGTTTCTGAAACTTATTATGTTTCTACTGATAATTTTTTTAAATGAAGTTATAATCAGAATATTTTAATATCGAACTTATTGAGAACATGTTCTTGAAGACTTATTCTATTTAGTGTTTTTACATGAATAATAAATATGACAAATCCCTCTGTCAGAATATTTAAGTGTTCATACCACATATTTTCCTACCATATTGATCATATATAAATTCACTTCAATGAAATCAAGAGCAGGGCTCAAGTTTTTAAGCCATACAATTTGATTAAGCCCTTTCAATCTATGAAAATAAGATTCTTAGAAGTAATCTTTTTTTCTAAATGGTAATACTTTGTTTTGCTCTATCAAGCATAGTCCCAATAAGAAAGTCATAATAACAGTTATAATGTATTTCATGTCAGAATATATTCTTTTGTAAGGACGTGCTTTTATCAAAGATAAGCTAAAGAGACAGAAAAGCATTTGTAAAGAATAAGTGCCAATTTTTTCAATAATGAATCAACATTTATGAATGTATCTGGACAATAATAATGTGAATAATGATGATAGTTATAAAATTACAACAATATGATGCTTTTTCTTTGAAGGGGAAAGAAACAAGAGAATGTCATTAAAATGTATTTATAAATTAGCACCTATTTATAAATTAATATCCATTATGCAAATGTAGTGAAAAATATTATAATTATGCTTTTCTGAATGCAGTAATTACCACTTCCATAAAGCTATTGATTCACTTCGTTATGTTGACCAACTATTCAGTAATGGTTGTCACAACAGCAAACAATATCACAAATAATCACTTCTGAACCATCTGTATCATCATATGAAATTCTTTTACAAGCTTGCTCTTCTCTTATGTCCACACAATTCTCAAGAATACTTTTGAGTGAGCATAAATCATACCATGCTCCAAACCTTATATGAGGGAATGATTAGACTAAAAGAAACATAGTCAGCTGGAGACTCTAGTAAGGAATAAAAATGTCAATAATGTTTAATGTAATTTTAAAAGAGAAAATGAAAAATATACCAAAAGAATTAAGCCATATTAGTTATTTGATTTCCACTGTGATAGTTAAGAGCCAGGTTGTATATTTGCCGGGTTTGAATGTGTTACTCAAAAGTTTATGTGTTGAAAGCCTAATCCTTCCTGGGCTGGGAAGGCAGCTTGGTGGTAGTGTGCTTGCCTTGCATGCCTGTGGCCCTGGGTTCAATTCCTCAGCACCACATAGGCAGAAAAAGCTGGAAGTAGCGCTGTGGCTCAAGTGGTAGAGTGCTAGCCTTGAGTTAAAGAGCTGAGGGACAGCGCCCAGGCCCAGAGTTCAGGCTCCACAACTGACCAAAAAAAAAAAAAAGTGAAAGCCTAATCCCCATATTCCTATGTTAGATGAAGGCATGAGGGAAAGGACCTTATAATGGCAATAATGCCTAATGAGCAAAGGAAGAGAGATCAGAGCCAACAGCTTTCTCCAGGTGATGTTCTATATCAGTGGGAAGGGCTTTGCCAGAGGTAAAACAGATCCTAGTGCTGTGTTGTATCTATCAGTCTCTACAATTGGGAGCTAGATAAAACTTTTTTCTTTATAAATTCCTTTCTCTGAAGTATTATTACAGCAACAGAAAACAAATTAGACCTAAGCTGAAATACAATGACAGAAAATCTGATACTGAATTCCTGATTGACTATGTCCATCAGAAAAAGATTTTAGATTCCTGGGCAGAAAATGTTATATCTTTTTCAAATGTCAACAGCATAATTAACACTTTTTCTAAGGTATTGATTCCATCATACCTTAATAGAGATGGAAATAACATATATATATATATATATATATATATATATATATATGTGTGTGTGTGTGTGTGTGTGTGTGTGTGTATATATGTATATATATATATATTCAATCATTACTCCATCAGCTCAAATTTTATCAGAGTTCTGAAAATGCAAACCATCTCTAAGTATAAAAGCTGAGCATAACATCATGATATTACAGAGAAGCAATAAGAAAATGCCCAAAGAAACAAAACCCAAAAACTTTTATCCCACAATAGAATAAATAGTAAGTTAGACCTCATAGGCTACTCTGTGGATTTGAAAGTAAAAATATTAAAATGGAAAATCGTATTAAGCCAAATCCAAAGAAATATAGCTCCCATGATTTCCCTTATTTGTAATAATTAGTATTTGTCTAGGATAATCTTACTAGATGAGCAGAAAAGCTCAAAAGCTATGTCCATATGACCATATAACATGATGCTAAACGAAATGAACCTCAAGATGTGGAAACAAGAGGTTTTCTTTGTCATTGTTGTTTGTAATTTACTATGTAATTTTTTTGTTTCTTTTGTATGTTCTTCCCCCTATAGTATATCCTCTGTCGATTTTGGTACCCTGCATCTTGTATATATATTTATCTAATTTGGGGAGGGAAAGGAGAATAACAAAACGCTGAAACAAGGACACAGAATGACCCATTGTACAAATGATGCAAGACACTATGTTGGAAAAAAGTTTACAACTTCTGTGGGGGCCGGGGGATGGAGGGAGTGGGAGAGAGTGGAAGAGGTAAGGAATAGTAGGAGAAAAACAAAGGAGGGGGCAACAATGTTTGACAAGAAATGTACTCATTACCTTATTCATGTAATTGTAACCCCCTGTATGGTGTTTTTACAGTAAAATAAAATTTAAAAAATAAAAAAGTAATAAAATGGAAAGAACCCCTCTGTACAATATTTTCACAATAAAAAAACTTATTTAAAAAAATAAAAAAAAAAATAAATAAATAAAATAAAATGGAAAGAAATTTTGGTTTTCCAAATAAAGGATCTGACAATAAAAAGATGGAAAGTAATATGTAAAAGAAATTCCATTAGGTCTCAAATCAAGTAACAAAACAAGTTCACATTCCCTCCATATCTCTTGTTTACAAAGAATCCCTGAGTTAGCTAAATTTGTGTTAAAAAAGGAAAAGCCCAACAACAAAAAAATACCTTACAGTATGTGTTCCTCAGACACTATATTCTATTATGTTTTATTAACCATGTTCATGAAGCATTGTGCTACTTAGAAAGTATTATAGCTTACATATGGAATGCTCTCAAAGGCTCATAATGCTAAATATTTCATTGCCATCCTGTGGCCTATAGAGAGATAATGGAATCTCTAGAAAACAGGACCTTGTGGATGGAAGCTGTGTCACTGGGAGCATACTCTTGAAAGGGATATGGGGAAACTACATTGCTTCTCTCCTTTGTGCTGCAGACTTCTTGAGAGAAACAGCTTTTTGCCCTGCCACATATCTCTGCCTAGGTTTTCCTTTGCCATACTCCCAAAGGCAAGGTCATCATATGATCATATGCTGAAACCTCTGAAATCATTTAAGTTTTGAGTTGATTGCCTCAGTTATTTTGTCAAAGCAGTGGAAAACTGCCTAGCACATGAAGGAAAGGTCAAATGCAGATACTCATATTCTTTGACCTTTAGGGACCTACTAGTCAAATTCAATACAGTACAAGTAAACATCACAAGATGTTGACAGTCAAAACATTATAGTTAGAAAAACCTGAATTGTTAGATATTCTGAGACAAATTGAGGTTATTTAGTAACAGAAAATATAAGTAAAGGCAAACAAAAGAAGATCTTGAAGATGCTGGTTTAAAAAAAAAGAGGAAAATTAGTTACACATATGGAAGCATTATGCCTGGAGCAAAGGTATCATGGAAAAAACTGTATACTCTAACCAGTAATGAGAGGTCAGAGGTGGAAAACTACAAACAGATACAGAACATGGCCAGAGTAGACTGAGCCACAAGGCTAAAGAACAACAATAGACTAATGTCTAAAAGAAAATGTTCATTAAATTACTGAGAAAGCATGAATACATAAGCTGGTATTACTTACCCGATTTATATTGCTGGTCTCTAAAATAGCCTGTAGTAGGGTTTTCTTGAATTCTTCCAACTTCTTATAACACTTTTTAACTATAAGATTAGACAAATTGCAATCGCTTGCCAGTTGAGCCAGAGTACCAACAGCTTCTGTCCAAAAGTTTGAAAAAGGAAGTCTGGGATTATGGTAAAAAGTGATCAAACCATCTAGCAACTGCAAAACAGAATCTGAGATGGTGGAAGAGTCTTTTTCAAAATGAGTTAAGTCTGTTTTCAGGGTACCCGATTCCATGAATTTCTTAAGTTCAAGCAGATGTTGCAAGAACTGCATGTGAGAAGACAGAGGATTTTCTGGAGTAGTATGAGGCTTTTTCACAAGAGGCAATGGTAGAAAGGGCAGAGAGATACAACTCTCTGTAGAATCCAAGGATGGCTCTAAAGGTTCAGTTCTTTGCTCATTTGATAAATCACACCCAGAATCATCCATCAAAGTCAATGTACTTTCAGAACTTAGAGGTTCCTGAGATGGCAGCTTTCCTGAAACAGAAGGAAATAGAATTATTATCTTCCTGAAGCTAAAATTTCATCATAAAAACCAGACACTCAGATGGGTGCTAGTGGTTCATGCCTGTAATCTGAGCTACTGAGGAGGCTGAGATCTGAGGATCATGGTTTAAAAGCCAGGCCAGGAAGGAAAGTCAGTGAGAATCTTATCTCTAATTAACCACCAAAAAGCCAGAAACAAAATTTGCTCAAGTGGTAAAATGATAGCCTTGAGCACATAAAGCTCAGGGACAATGGAAAGGCCCTGAGTTCAAGACCAAGACCTGATACAAACACCTAGACATTGATTTTTTTAGCTGAAAATACTAAACAAAAAATGTAAATTTTTAGTAAACATTTAATAAGCAGTGGTGTAAAAGCTGTGCAAATGGAGAAGATTATAGTTTAGCCTGACATAGAAAAAGATCTAGCTTTACTGTTCTAAAGCAATTGATTTGCCATGTGTTTTCCAATCACTGCCTCTCATTTAACTCCATACTATACTTGAAAGATACAGGGGAGAAAGCCAGAAGATCTGGAGGAGGTTGACAATCTGATATACACTCTAATACTTGACTGCAGAGCAACATAAGGCACTCAGAAATAGAGATTTGCTTAGGGCACTATGAAAACAGGAGCACTGAAAAGCACTGCCTTGTTAGATAAGCCTAACCATGAAGAAGTAACACAGAAATACTTTTAAAGCATAAACAGGAGTTCAAAGTTAAAGCTGGAATTGAAGAAGGAATAAGAATTCTATAGAGCAAAGGATTAAGTACAAAATCAGGTGTAACAAGAAAAAAAATAGCAATGTGTATGTAAGGACTCACATAGTTTGATGCTGCTTCCATAGAAACTATAAGGCAAGAGTTTAAGATGAGGAAATCTGCAGGTACAGACAACAAAAGATTATAAAAGGTACATTAACAAACCAACAATTTTAGAATTTAGTCAATAGGGGACAGGGTGAATTTCAAACTTGAATAATGAAAATCTTTTTTGGAAAAATTAAATGTATACAAAAATACCTGATGCAAATATAAATCTACGGCAATAATATCTATATCCCTTATCTGTGTGCATATGCCACCAAATCTAAATCTAGTCTATCTTTGATAGAGAGGATATCATCGTAAACATGAAAAAGGAAAGAGGTGGTGATTATATTAAAATGATTATCAGTAAAATGTACAAGCCAAATTGAGATGGATTGAAAAGCTCTCACTGATGATTCTAAAACACATATATCCATTCAAGAATGCAAGCGTAAAAAATATTTCTCCCAATAATGGGAACACAAATGAGGTGTGGAAAAAGAATAAGGCAGGGAAGTAAAAAGAACTTAGAATACTTTGTTGATAAAGGAATGGCCGAATTGGGAGTATGATGAAAGTTAGAGAGATTAACTAAACATTGCTCTACAGTGCTAATGTCATGGGATGAGATAGATGAACCAAGAATGCGTCATGAAAGGGAAAGGAAGTGATTCACCAGAGAAATAAACAGAAAATATCCAAATACAAGGTGGGAGTCAGTTTACTAAAGGGATATCTGCATTCCTTTCTGAACTGGAGGAGTAGGTACCAACCACAGTGAAAAAATACAGACAAGAACTGGTATAAGAGAGATTCTAAGTAAGTGAAATAAGCCAGACCCAAAGAAACATAGGCCCCATGGTTTCCCTCATTTGTAATTAGTATATGTCTAGGAGAGTCTTAGCAGAGGATCATAATAGCTCAATAGCAATGTATAGATGACCATATAAAATTATGCTAATTGAAATGAACTACAAGATATGGAAACAAGAGATTTTTTTCCTTTTGTTGTTGTTTTTTATGTACTGGGTGAAGTTATTTCTTTTTCTTTCTTTTTTTCCCTTTGGTTTATCCCCTGTTATCACTGATTTTGTTTTTTATTTTATTTTATTTTGTTTTTATTTTGTCTTGTAGACACATCTGTCTGATTTGGGGAGGAGAAGGTGAATAACAAATGGTGAGACAAAGGAAAAAGGGGGAACCAATTAAACAGCAATACTCACAAGACACTATGTTGGAACTGAACTTTACAATTTGCGGGGGAACGGGGAGTTTGGGGGGAGGGAAAGTAAGAGAAAATGAGGGAGAGGGCAACAATGTTTGACAAGAAATACACTTATTACCAAGATAAAGTTCAGTTCCAATTATAGTGTCTTGTGAGTATTGCTGTTGTATTGGTTTCCCCCTTTGTCAGGTTGGGGGGATGTGGGAGATGGGAAGGGTTGGGAAGGGGAAACAAAGGAGGAGGCAACAATGCTTGATAAGAAATGTACTAATTATCTTGCCCTCTGTACAGTATTTTCACAATAAAAAAGGAAGAAAGAAACTATAACCACCCCTCTGTACATTACCTGTACAATAAAATAAAATTATTTTTTAAAAGAAAAAAAGGTTCATCTCCAATCTTGTGAACTATGAAGCAGCCAAAGAAAATCTAGGCAGAGATGTTGACTTAGAATTTAGATACACTAATCTACGGATATTGGAGAGGGTCTAGCCTCACAGTACATGTCAGAAGTCCTTGGGATGTAGGTGGTTTCTGAATGTATGAAAACAATTATTGTCACTCAGGGAGAGTATGGGTAGTGAATAGGACCGAAGATCAAAGAAGAACTCTATGGAACATCATATTTGACAAGTGAATGGAGAAAGAACAGTTATTAGAGATGGAAACAATCAAGAACATGTAAGAAGAATAAAAAGACAATGTGATGAAAGCCAAGGGAACAGTTTTAAGGAAAACTGTAAGCAAAAAATATGCAATATGAATCGCTCAAAAATGATCTGTTAAAACTATCAACTTTATTCTTGTTGTTTTTAATGTACTAAGTGAAGTTATTTCTTTTTTTCTTTCATTTTTTTCTTTTTATCTCCCATGGTTTATCCCTGTTGTCACTGTATTTACTGTGGTGCCGTGTGTATTATATACATTGAATAAAAGAAGGAAGGGAAACAATAAAATGGTGAGACAAAGGACAAAGGCCAAACCAATGCAACAGTGATACTCACAAGACAGTATGTTAGACATGAACTTTATAACCTGGGGGAAGGGGATTGGAGGAGAGGGAAAATGGGAGAAAAACAAGGGAGGGGGTAACAATATCTGACAAAAAATTTGTTCACTACCTTAGGTATGTAACTGTAAACCCCCTGTACATTACCTTGACAGGAAAATTAAATTAAAACAAAACAAAAATCATTTGTGACTTTGTCCATTGTAGTCCACCTAGATCAACTGGGTCACTTGACCAAGGAAGAAGAAGACAAAGAGCAATGGACTAAGGAGTAAAATAAAGAAAGCAAAATGTGCCAATTCAAAGGATTTAGATCAGGAGGGCACAAAATCAACAATAACTGCGGACAGGTATGGTATGATACATTTGGAGAAACTTGAACAATCACATACAAACGAAAAATAAACAATGGAAAATCAGAGGTTGGAGATATGAGATAAAATAACAGGGATTGAAATGGTCTAGAGCACAATGAAAGGGTCAGTCTCAAAACGGGAAACTGAACTTTCCTCTGAAGCTGAAGGAAAGAGTATGAGAATGTTCCTGGATGTAGAAAGCTACCAATGTCAATAGGGGAAGTTAAAGAAACTCTTACCTGGCCATCACACATTTTTGAAATTCGGAGACAGTGAGATAATAAATAGATGGGACTAAAGAATGGTCAAAGTGACAGCTTGATTATACTTTAAATATTTGCAAATCTATTTAATTGATGGAGAGCTAGAAACAGAGGCTCAAGCTTCCATAGCCACTACAACTGTGCCCATACATGCTCTTTAGTTGTCATGACAATGTATGTATTTCAAGCTTAGGTTGATGGTGCAGAAAGTTAAAAAGCATAGTAGTAGCAAAAATGATGACCTATCAGCAAAGCATTTAACAGCTGGAGGCAATTTTTATACTGAAAGAGTCAGACAATCTGATCAATTTAAGCAAACATTATCTTTTATGAGCCAGGATAAACAGTGGAGATATCTTCTCAACCTACACATTAAAAATGATGTTATAATTATTCTACTTTTCTTTCATGAGAAGCAAATGGCTCTCCACAAAAATCAGTGAACAATTTTCTTAATGTGCTCAAAATTTCCACCAAAGTAGGCTAAACTTCAGAGATAATGATTTCAAGGAAGACTCATAAAATGACTTCTACCAAGCAAGAAAGCTGATTTGTGGTTTCAGCTTTTTATGGTTCACTGGATGTCTCTGGCAAGCAACAACCATGCCATGTTCTCTCTCTATGCATGACAAGCAATAATTTGAAGAATTTCTGCTTATGTATATGCTATGAGAAGAAGACCCAACACTGACTACTACCTTTTCAGGCTGCATGCTAAAATATGCTCCAAAGTGCTATTTACACATACACTAGGGATTCAAACATGGCCAAATATATAGACAGAAATGCAGTAAGGAATGTACCAACTTCACAAGGACAACCTCCAAAGGGAGGTTTTATATAATACAGTTTACAGCAGTAAAGTCAACCTCTTAAACAGGAAATATATATATATATATGTATATATATATATATATATATATATTCATGTTATTTTACAAAACATGTTCAGCAAACAATTTAGAATAATCCTGTAAGATTTGATCCCTAGGGGCTGGGAAGGTGGCTCAATGGTAGAGCGCTTGCCTTACATGCATGAGGCCTTGGGTTCGATTCCTCAGCACCACATAAGCAAATAGAAAAAAAAAACAAGCCGGAAGTGGCACTGTGGCTCAAGTGGTAGAGCGCTAGCCTTGAGCTGAAGAGCTGAGGGACAGCACCCAGGCCCAGAGTTCAGGCCCCATGACCGGACCCAAAAAAAAAAAAAAAAAAAAAAGATTTAATCCCTAATTTACTGATATGAAAATATAGTCTCTACCTGATACAGAGACATGAAAAGCCACATCGTGTGTAGTGAAATCAATAGTTACTGATTTGCATTATACC